ACTCAATCCTGTTGGTTTGTGTAATAAGAATACCTTATTGGATGTTTTATTCACAGCTTGTCCACCTTTACCCTGACCTGATGGTGTAAGTTTAGATAGCTTTTTACAGCAGAAATAAAACTCACCTTTGACGAATTTCTCTAATAAGTCTTCTTCATTGAGCTTCACAAGTGATGGTTTGCTCCAGTTGATTAAATTTCTAACACTGGTCGTGATTAACCTTACTGACATGACAATATGAGCCAAAAGAGCCAATTTAGGTACTATTTAGATGTTAATCTCTGCAAATTATGTCTCTTTAACAAAAAATTGCATGTATTTTACTCATATCTGAGCTATGTTGCACGTTCTACGTATTCATATAATCATAACAATCATAATCTTCTCTATACAAGAAGACATTCACATAAAGTAAACTGAAGAGTAAACAAGGTCAGCCTTCATCTACATCGCTGAAGTAGACGTTCTTATAGCTATTTGACTTTAACGAACTGGATCCTTTGAGTGATGACTAGAATCTTCTTGACGTCCTACGTACATTCTATCATGTATTACCTCTACATTAACCAAGTAATTCACTAAATGAATACTTCTTGAAGGATTCTGATGAAGATTTTCTGCGCAAACGATCTCTGAAAAGGTGCAATGAGTCTGTCCTTTGCTTTCTAGAGGGAACGTTGCATTTGCATGTTCTAGCTACAAAGCTACTATCATAGTATCATACCATTGGTATTGTGAATAGAGCAGACGCCTTAGATGAACGCTTTAAGCATTCTTGAAACTACACCCATATTAAAATAATAGAGAGACATTGAAGTTAAACTGAGAACGCGTTATACATACTGAAGTGATAGTGTGAACAAACGAAATTATTGTAGATATTCTTAGTAGCTACTTTTGTGACAAAAATTTACCCAGTGTGTTCAGCAACTGCATCTTAATTCGAGTAAGCATAAAATAGGTTGTTGATATATCGTCTATGACTTGAAATAACAGTCCTTTCAAGCTACGTTGCAAAGAACAGCAAAAAGATATGACAGGAGTGGGATTCGAACCCACGCCCTTTCGGACTAGATCCTTAGTCTAGCGCCTTAGACCGCTCGGCCATCCTGCCTTGTTACAAGGGAAATCTTGATTCCTTGTATTGACGACAGCTATTATTCATCTGAAAATTTTCATCCCTCCGGTAGAAGCGGTCCTTCAAACACTTGTTACAAGGTGAAGACACCATTCCCACTTCTGCCCTGGGAAAGCGGCCCGACGATACACTTGACGGGTCTTTCCAGGAAATTACAAATTGGGAAATGACGGTGGCTATAAATAAAATGAAAGTTGGGAAAGCGGCAGGACCAGATAACATTCCGGTCTTCGCCATAAAAGAATTCACGCCGATAATAGTATCCATATTGACAAAGATAGCGAATAACTCCTTGCGCCTTGGACATTACCCAAAATGTTTCAAAGAAGCGACATGCATTGTGATTCCAAAGCCGAATAAGAAGTCATACCGAGAAGCGAGTAGTTATCGTCCGATCTCACTACTCAACCATCTTTCGAAGCTGATTGAAACTGTCATGACAAAGAGACTACAATATGAATTAGATACCAG